TATCTGTTTTTGCAAATCTTCATATACAGCATGTGGAGTTCTCATTTGTGTCATTATTGGTACTGAAAAAGTGATTGTGCTGTTCCTATACAGGTTCAGCTTCACTTATGTTGCATATTGCAGCGAATAATGAGCCCGCTGTCAGTAAAAACCCAACAGCAACTAAAAAACATCCAGAAAGTAGTTGCGGTTCAGAGGGTTAACTTGGAGAATATTTCGGCGATCCACTTACTTCGCAATTTCAGAGCGTCTGTATGGATTTCGCCCGACTGAGGTGAAGCTTACCGTAACTCCAGACGTCGCTCTGATGAGTAAACTTCCTGTAATGGATGCACTCCAGAGCCATCCACTTGATGGGCATCTGCCAGCGAGAGAGACAGCGCGTCAGTATTACATACACGCATACATTAGCCATTGAAGTGAGCCGAAAATAATCCCCTTTCTCTTGTACTGATAAAGAAAATGACAACACAGTTCTGGCTTTAGACTAAATTTTAATCATCTGTTGCTTAGGTGGCGTGGCACATAATGAATCGCTGCAGCAGAACTGACAACCACGTTGAGAGAGCGGAGACGTATGGCAGGCTGAAGGAAAACAAGGTTTGATGAAAGAGAAGACACACATACACAAGCTCCAGCTGTGCTGAAATAAGGTGAGGCAAAAAGCAGGCCTGTCTGGGATGCAGCTTAACACTGTGATTAGATTTGAAGGCCAATTTTATTGATTGCAGCGACGGAGGTTGAGGGGAGAAGGATGTCGAAGGTTAGAGTGCCTGTCTTTCACTCAGCTGAGGGGATAATTCCACAGCGCTCATCGCCGACATAAACCGCGATGGACACGCCGGGAGAAGAGAGGATGAAATAGGCTTTCTTTGCCAAAAGAGGGTTTGGAAACAAAATACAAAAGAGGCAAAAGGATAAACAAAGACCAGAAGAGGTCAGAAGCCCGTGTTCGGAGAGCCCCAAGGACGTATTTGTTTACTACGTTTACAGGGTTCTGAGATGTCTATTCCCCAAAGGTAAATAAAACGGTCCAATAGAGCAGAATAATATTTCACTCGGCTGAAACAGTTCTTCGTGATGGGCTGAAATCCTCCCTCAGGATGTGAAACCCTCATTAATGTTAATGTCTATTTGTTGTCTTTTACAACATGTCAATGATATGTGGTCTGAAATAATAACACATTAATACTGAGAACGTCAAACTACACATAATAAACACGGTTCTCATTACAGGTTCAAATGCTTTTAGCACAGTGGAAAAAAACACTAACAATGTTGGTTTAACAATACCAGCAGTAAGTTATGAATTTTGTAATGAGATGCACTCTCAGTATGTCATCCATTAACAGTATTTTTAAATGCCTGGCACTAATTTAGCAGGTAAATCAGGTTGTGTCTCCTTTATTTAAAACAAAAGTCTTCAATCTGTGTTAAAATGATCCACTTTCTGGAGTGATGTTTACAGTAACTCAGCCAAAAAGCACATGTGAAGCGAAACCGTGCATCCATTGTGCTTATTCACTCAAAACAGGCCCGAAACCAACTATTTCCATCCCTTCTCATTCCCAACTCGTCACATTTTGCCGCTTTGTCAGGACCCCTCGGCTTCCCATTTGAACACACGGAGCGGATCGATAGACCTATAAAAATCTGTGGATGTCAGAAATAGATCCCACGAGTCTGTAGCCAAATGTTCTCTGCCGGCGTTGCCACTATTGTTCTTTCACAACACTGCGGTAATGTTGTGAGCTGCATTTTAACCCAAAATATCACCTTTTTCTAAACCTAACCAAGTAGTTTTGGTGCATAATCTTAACCAGACAGGGTGTGAAAATGAGACTTAACTCACAAAAAAAAAACAAGTAAAAAGTGTCCCGGGTGAAAGTCATGTGACTCAGACTACGACCACCCAAGTGGAAAAACTCCTCCTGAACTCTGTTGTCTGAATATTGACGACAGCCTGAGGAAACCCTGAGCGTGAGACTGCAGCGACTGTAAGAAAACAGCAGGATTTAAGGCTCTGAGAATGAGAGCAGATTTACTGGCTGTAGGCAAACAGGCAGCATATGTGTATGTGATTGGTAAATGTTAGTTTCTAATAATGGATGTATCAATAGCTGGAGATGGAAATTGCAAAACTTTGTACTAAGTTTGATCCAAAATGGCGGCGCATGCACGCAGTGGCTGGGAGCTCCTGACCTAGTTACTAGTTGGACTGTGCTATGTGTACATATGAATATTCTCTTTAAATTCATTTTATTTATTTATTTTTTTAAGAGTATTCCATATTGCACTGCTGCTGATTGATGTGAGTTACCACACACGTTTTGTTGTATTTTGCACAATGACAATAACGCCTCCATCTGTACAACAATCAACAACTTTGATCCATATGGTGATGACCGTTACAGCTACAGTCTGTACATTTGCAGTTTTTTTATTTTACAATTACTAACATTTGTCTACACTAATTTCTCTTATTTAAAACTTTATGCTCATAAACAGCCAAAACACTTTATACTCACGATCAGTTCATGGAGCTAAACTCTGGGATAAAAGTAAAGTAATGTGATTACTGAATCCAGGTGATGCGATATAAAACAGTGCTGGTCAACCCGTGCTTTAGTGGCCACAGGTTCTCACCAACACTACATCTTCTGTTCTGTGCTGATTGGCTCTACGGTCATGATGTAAGCACTGGTTGGTTTGACTGAACTCGTCTCTCCCTTTTTCCTGTACGCTCATGAAACCGATTAATAACGCCATTAAATGTTTTATTCAAGCTGAAAGTCGAACTAATGTGTCTGTGTGTCAAGCCATACCGCAATCAACTCAGGTGTTTCCATTACAGAATTAAAGTCTGACTCCAACCTTTGCATTCAGTCTAAACAGAAAAACAGACATCGAGCATCTTGGCGAGGAAACAGTTAGATTAGTTGACAGTAGCTTCATGTTTATACCAGTGGTAGTGACACTCCAGGAAGAAAGTGAGCAACTGTTGAACTGTTATGTTAACTGATAAATCAAAATAAAATAAATCACATTAAATATACTGCAATTTGCCACTCAAACAATGTCTAATTATTCCAGGGGTCACTGTATGAGTCCTGCAACACATTGTGACGTTCAAAAACTTTAAATAAAATGCACACGTTTGCCTGTTTGTCAGATAGTGTAAATGATGTGATGACGTCATGATTCACCTTTCCTCCGTCGGCGTTGTATTCTTTCTCGTTGACATCCAGCAGGCGAGCCAGGCCAAAGTCAGTGATCTTGATGTGGTTGGGAGATTTGACCAGAACGTTTCGGGCCGCCAAATCCCTGTGGACCAGCCTGCGCTCCTCCAGATACATCATCCCCTGCAACACATGCACAGCCATTATTTATCATGTTCTATTGAGTTAATTCACACGCTTCGTGCGTAACCTGCAGCGCACACACACGCAAAGCCGACGTCCCCATCTGTCTTCATCATCATCATCACCGCCGCCATCAAGTCCACATTAGAATTTTTATAATTATTTGTGTCATCATCATTACTATCACATTGTTTTTTTTATGGTTATAATTCCCATCAATCAACAGCTAGACTGTGGAAAAGCCCTCGTAATTGCCAAATGCTTGGCGATGCAATAAAAGCGGCATCCATAAGCGACAACCCAGAGGCAAGTTTTCAATTAAAAACGGGACCCATAGGAGCAAAGCATGTTGGAGTAAAACGTTTCCTTCAATACGTTCGTCGAACAATTAAGAAACTACATCTGTGCTCTTTCTCTCTGTCCTCGCTTTAATTATTAATGATTTTCTGGAAAAAAAAAGCTTACATGCATTTCCCTCTGACATACTGAGATGTTTATATTAATTATCAATGTGAGGAAACTACAATATTAATTTCTCGAGGCCCCATTTTTCAATAAAAAGCTATACATCTCCACCAAAAACATTAAACATGGATTGCATTGAATAAGTCATATTTCTTTGTTGCTAACTACTCATGTTGAAATGAAATGAGTATATTAAGAACTAGTGCCTATTCGACAATTAGCATAAATAGAAAATTACCAGTGTCAGGCCCGTATAGATGTTCTATTACGCACAGCAGACGAGTTTAGTCCTCAAGCTACAACAGAACACGTCTGTATCGCTATGTAAAAGAGGTTTAGCTTTCTAAATCCTGCGCTGCACACCTACAGTCTACTGCAGGAGTGGACCTGAAGAGAAGAAGAAAAAAAAAAGATGCTGGTGGGGGGGAAAACTATTTGAAATTGGACGAGCAATAACAGAAGCCACTTTGTTTGAAGTGGCGAGAAGACAGAAAAACGAGGCCTTATTTGAAACCATAACAAATTGGATTTAGCTGGAATGGGTTAGGAATGAAAGGAGGAGTGGATGGAGGAGGAGAGGGGAGGAGGGGTTGAGCTACAGCAGCCTAAGAGGTGAGATTACACCGGTAAGGCTATAATCACACCGCCTCGTTTGGCTCCTTCTCGGGAGAGGACGCGGGGTTTCTGCGCACACCTGGTCATTTGCATAGAAACGCACGTCCTGTTTTAAAAGGACGACGGATACGACGAAGTGAAGATTGCAAGTCATGATCCTGATGAAACTCTCAGATACCGTTCTGGTCATCACAATATATCTCTACTGCTCTTCACTTTGCTTTTAATCAGAAGTTCAACAAGCACTTGTGAGCCAACTCAGGTCCTAAACATCAGCGCCAACTTGATGGTATGTCACTAGATTAATGATAACTGTTAAAAACTATCATGCAACAATAAACACGAGTTGGTGATAAATATGCAGTGTTTTGCCAATTACGTGTCGAACTCAAGGAGGTCTGATGCCATCATCTATTATCCACCATCCAGATGTAGCCAGGAGTCATATGTAAATACGAGAAATAATGAGGTATAAATAAGATATTTCTGAGCGGCTAATCTCCTTAGAAATGAGCCAATACCCACATTACTGACACTGACAAGCACAGCACAGGGCGATGTTGGGTATGCGCTGCAGTGTGGCCACGCGTTCACAGTCCAGGAAATAAAACACGGACGAAGACGCTGCTGATCAAAATGTGTGATTTACATTTTTATCATCCGTTAGCCAAAGAGCTGCAGAAAGGGCAAAACTGAAAAAGAGATAAAGACGGGGGATTTAAGGTATCCCGTGCTGCCCGTTGCCTGTGGCGCCCAAATCATCAAGTCCATGTGTGTATGAGTCTGTCATGGTATACGCTGCCAGGTTTCTGACAGATTCTTATTTGTACATAAATCGCGCCCAGTAATCTCCTCAATTTTCGAGACAATTAAGCAGTGGAGGGAGAATGGATGGCTTGGCAACCCGTGAATTTTAATTTGCCAGCACAATGAGATTGAGAGGGGGAGGTGATGGTGTGTGTGCAGAGTGGGAAGTGGCTGCAGACGTGCGTAAGGAACAAACTTTTCTCTTTTTTTTTTTCTCCCCCTTTTTTCTACTCGGTTGCTCTCATTTACTGCCCTCCCATGTGGACATGATGAGAACAACTCACTGCCAGAGGTTTGTAATTGCGGCAAACCTGGATGCGACAGCCAGGCTCATGCCAGTAGTGGAAGCTGTATTTCAGGTAAAGCCTGCCACCAGAGAAAATCCACGGGCTTCAGACAGACTCTGTTATGATCACATCTCCAGACGAGGGCTGCTTTCCAGTCAGTGGGGATCAGGCCTATGCCCTAAACCCTGCACACGGAGATTTTACATCGGAAAGCAAGCCAAGGAGAAAAATCTCTAGCATAGCTAAAGTAAGGAAGAAAAAAAAGAAGGTAACGCTATCAGAATTTCAGGAAAACACAATTACTACCAGTATGTTGTAAAAACATTGGAGTTTTTTTCTCCGTGTCTTCCATGTTTATGTGCTTATTATACCGGAAGAAATTAAAGTTCCCTCCATGTTAGTGGCGTCATGCTTCAGCTAAACTGCAGCCAAATTACATCAAATTCCACTAAAACAGTCCAGTTTTAAAGTTTTGCATTTACCTAGGATGAGATGGATTCCTCCGACTAAGCGGTCCTGCAGTCTAACATTCTGATTAGCCTTGTTTTTTTTTTTGCAGTAGGAGCAGATGTGATCCGTTTTTGCAGTCAGCATGATAAAAGTATTCTCTATTGTACATGCACCCGGCAGTACATTATGTGGACAGCCGGGTGCCTGTACATTGTTTACCAGGGGGAAGAGATGGCGGCAGAATGAACTATGGCAACAAAGCAAGCCAGCGGAAGGCAGTGTGATGCTGTGGGCGATGTTGTCCTGGGAAACCCTGGGTCCTGGATTTTATGTGGACACATACCACCAAACAAAACAGTGCTGCGGACCACATTCACCCCTTGTTGGCAATGGTATTCCCTGATGGCCTGTTGCTGCTGCACTGCAAATAATTCCTCAGGAATGTTTGAGAA